CAAGAGGACCTGAGGCAAACCAAGGCAGCTACTACCTGACTCACATTGGCTTACTGAGGCTGAGGTTCACACCTTATAAAACCCAGGCACCCAGGAAGCTCAGATAGAAAAGAAACATATAATTTCCTGACATATGCAAGCCCTGCACTTGGATTTTTTGGTCTGTAACTTTAGGTCCTGGTTGCTCTTATATTAACCATGTAGAGCATGTTTTTTATCACAAGCCTGTGTTGTTCTGGGAAGAGCAAGCCTTTTGATGAGTGGGCTAGCCAGGACATGGCTGTTTTACTCACAAAGAAGTGAAGCGAAAGCATCAGCAGTCACTTGGGATCTTCTTCAATAAAAGCGACCAACTTTTGTCCCATGATCCTGAACCACTGGAGCAATTTGAGCAAGCCTTGCGCTCTTCTAGCTCCCTCTCCTCTCCCTGTGTTCAAGGGCTCTCTCCATCTCACCTGGCTTGATGTGAGGCAGTCACACAGCATGGAAGTGCCTTATCCTGTGGCAGACACTGACATGGGATGTTCGTAGAAGGTACCCTTATGTGCTTCCATTTAACGTTTACATAGTGAAGTAAAAGAACTGAAGTCCAATGAATTTGATGGAATTACAAATTTCTCAAAAAATTGAGGAAGGTTAGCTTTTTAAATCTTTGCCTGGTTTGTTGCAAAAATGAGCCTCATTTAAGAGCTGTCTTTACTTGTCTTTGGTAAAGATCATCAAGTGATTAACCATACTATGTGAAAAGAGAATAGGGTGTAGTTAGGAATAACATCACTTCCAATGTAGCATAAAGTGAGCAATTTAGTAAAATGGTTGAAATGTTTCACTCTGGGTATACTCCTTCTCAGAGTCAGGAATCATCTGGTAACTGCTTGAAAAGCAGATACAGAGGGGAAAAATTAAAGGAAGAATCAACATCTAATGTAAGATGCTTGGCTGAACTTGAGAAATGATCTGATAACAGCTTCAAGCATACAAATACAAAAAATGCATCCCTACTTAATATTATTGATTTCACGTCTGGAGAAAAACCCACAGAATATTGTGTCCAAGCTGCTGGAGATGCTAACTGGAGGGAGACAGATGAATGAGGTCAAAGTCATTACTTTGTTCAAACAATGAAACTCAGACAAAACAAAAAGCTAATTAAAAAAACAAACCAAAAGAAAACAAAACTTGTAGTCAAATCAGTTTCACTCTCTGAAATATATTAATTTTATTATGCCTTGGTGATAATGAAATAACCCGAAAAGTCTTTTGGTGTAATCCTGTTTTTTAAACCTGATAGGGATTTAATTATTAACTTTAACAGTCAGGATTTTACCATGCAATTGCAATCTAGACATTCCAAATGCTTCTGCAACCATGATCCATCTTTTGCTTTGATATGAATTTGGAGGACTGATACTCTTTTATATACCTTTTTATTACACTTTACAAAGGATAGGAGTCATTCACAGGAGCTATCTAAGGAAGGCAGGTAGCTGTCGACGGAGAGCACCAAACTCCTGGAAGAAGATCAATGAATGCTTCTAAAATGTGGCTTGTGTAAAAAAATCTCTCTTTCTCCATTAGCAATTGAAGGATACCATGGATGTTAACGTTTCCACCCCCAAAATAGGGATATATTCACCAAGGCTATATAACTGTATTTACATGCAGTGCCCTACGTATACTTCACTCAGCAGTGAGCAAAAGATCTTTGATCAAAACACAAAATTAACCTATACACCAGAGGCTCCACAGAAAGCCACTGAACTTATAGAAATAGTAGAAGAATAAATTGCCTTTATAAATTCAGCCACAAAACATGTGATTAGCTTCTTCAGTTTGCAAAATGTCCTCTACTTGAGCACACCTCCCAAGCGAGATTTTTTTTTTTCATGTTGGGACTAATCAGGTTCCAAGAGTCTAAGAACATCCTGAAAGAGGATTATATCTGAAATTATAATAGTGCATTGACCATTATTTTCTATTCAGTTAAGACAGAGATGTGAATTAAATATTACTATATGCAGCAATAAAGAGGAAATTAAAAGGGGGACAGATTAGAAGCAAGAAGCCATCTTTTCCTATCCACAGGGCTGAAGAAAATGAACTCTCAGTGACAACACCTCTGGCAGTCCTGAGTATTGAAGTCTCTGTTAACACCAGGCCAAGATCTCGGGCCGCTTGAGCCTGACATTTGGCCTTTGCTGTCGCAGAGTATAGGTGGGAAATATCAACAACCATAACAAATATTACTGCATGTGCCTGGCAACTCACTCATGAAACACCCTTATGACTGTTTGCAGAGCCTTGTAAGATGGTTTTGCTTCCTGGAAATAACAGATGTATTGGCAATACACCAAAATTTCAGGTTTTTACCCCTAGATTTGTGTGTGAACTGCCGTGGCATGGAGGGTAACATTGCAATTGCTCCAGCCTCTTAGTTAACTGTCCTCAATTCTCCTGAAAAACCTGAAGACTGGTTTGGCACATTTCAGGAGGGATATTTTTTCTTTTCCCAAAGGTGTCCAGATCCTTGTTTCCCCTGCAGGATGGTCTGATATAATGGAAATGCAGAAGACACACCATGATAGGTCTAAGTATATATTTTCATCTGTATCTGCTTTTGCTAAGAAAAAATATTTCCAAGTTTTATTTTATGAAATAAAGCTTTCTAAGGTAAAATAGGATGCCGACCAGTGCCATCAGCAGCAAACCTGAGGACTACAGAACATAATCTTTTTAAGATTACACCGTGGGCTTTCTTGATGTGTATGCAATGTGCCTAAAGTTTCTACTGTCCTTTCTAGGAGTCTGATTTTCTGCAAAGTAATCTAAATATGCTATAGTGTGAAGATTAGATTTTGTGTTCAGTGTATAGGCATACGTTGCCATTTTTCCTTACCAACACCTCCCACTATTGCTCTGCATGTAAAGGTATTTCATTTGCTGAATTCAACCTGCCAACTGTAACAAATATGTCCTAATCCCATTATATGCATCACAGTTAACTAACAACCAGGTAGGAACCACCAAGCCTTTTTCTCTTTGATCATCCCAGATTTGCACACTGGCCAAGGGCAAGACCCATGAAGTCTGCTGAGAATAGACAGGGAGAGACAACCTGCGAGGCACAACACTTGAGCACTACATATTTGATATAAATGACAATTGTCTAAAATGTACCTCAACTTCCATTTTACAATGTTCATTACTGTAGCAAATGCTTTAACATCAGTTCTTTCCCTCTATTTTTCTGTTTCCATTTGTGCTGCTGTGCCTTCTCTGATTTCATGGTGGCATAATTGCTGAATACATGGCTGCAACTGTGACTCAGTAACTGCAGCTGTCTGGTCTCTCTCTTCACCATTAATTTAGGCAATGACTTCTTTTCCTAGGAGCCTAATATTGCTATGACATCATCATGGGAAGAGCTTATGGAAAAGAGGGGCAAAAAATAGAGTTCCTATCTCATGGAAAATTCAGGCATTTGAACAATCCCTACAATTACAAACTGGAACAAAATATTACACTTTGAAAAATTTAGCATTAACAAAATATTCTGAAATATTTTGTTTTCGATATCTAGGAATGATGTACTGAAATGCTCTCTTTACACAATCAAAATGCTTCATTTTAATGCTATTTTAACCTTTACATTATATAAAAATAAAACTTTCAGGCTCCTCGATTTTACCCAGTTACATATGAGTCAGAATGATAAAAATTGAATCATTTAGGTAATTTTCCTTTAAAACATTTCAATCCTGCAAACCATTGCTTCATCCACATTTCTGGGGAGGAAGCAAGTTTCTTTAGAAAGTTTCTTAGGAAACCTGCCACCAGCTGTTGTACAAAGACAAGTTTTAAGTACCTAATGTGAGCATTTCAAGATCATCGGTGGATTAATGTCTTTATTTTGGTTTGCAAACAGAATCTTTCAAAGGGGCAATAAGACGCTGAGCAGACAGACTGCAATTGCAGATTTGTTGGAGCTATCAGACAATATTGAATTTCTCCTGTCCAAATGCTGAGAGCTGTAAGGCTCTATCGACTTCACTGCGGAAACAGACCACAATGAATAAGATTCAGGAAAGGATTAAAGAAGAGAGGACAACATTTCCTTATCACAAGGCAGTTCAGAGCATTGGAGATTTCCATTCAGGTTTAAAATAAAACTGCTTTCCTGGCTGTGTCATTAGTCAACACATTGACTAAAATAGATGTTAAAATATATTAGTGTTCAGACTGCTGCTAGTTCTCTTGGCTAGGAGGAAGATATTGTATATGATCAGTTTTAATTTTCAGATGTTTATGACAAAGCACAAAGCTGCAGGTTTTGGATGACAAACATAGCAGGAAAGTTTTTCTTTCTCCTCTCCTTCCTTATTCAAATTGATGTTTTGACTGTAATCATTAAAGGAATAACAGAAGTGTTTCCTGGCAGCAGGTTTTAAAAAACATGACCTTAACAAGTCCTTTAACAATTTTGGAGAAAGTAATGACTCAATGAATTAATTTAGTCCTCTTGTGCAAATTAACTCTTTCCAAATTATACACATGTATATGAATCACTTCACCCAGAACTGAAATATGGCCAGACTTGCTCAGCTGCAAGGTGGCAAGCACAGAGACAAATGCTATAACTTTGTAGCTTGAGTAATCCTGGACAGGACACTAAAGCAAAGCATTTCTCTTGCAGTCGTTTCCATGGTATCTTTAACACCCACATACAGCAAGTAGGACATTGGTTGTTAAAGTTTCATCCAAATAAATCCTACAAAGTAAATTGCATGGAACCCAATTTATCTGCCTCAAAATGAAGTTTGCTGGGATTTGAACCTGTGGCTTCAGGAAAAAAAAAAAAAACAGGCACTTCAAACCTGATGTGCAAATCATTCAGTCATTCTGTCAGCTTTAAGACATAAATAGTCAGTATGAGATCATTTGCATCCATATATATAAATATATATATATATCTAAATCTATACATAGATAGCTGTACCTACATTTGCCTGAGATTCATCATGCCCATTGATTTCTGCTAATTCCTTGGCGCTTTTTAACTGCAAAGAGTAAACAAAAAACAAAACAGAACAAAACAAGCACATTACTTGAGTATTTCACACAGTTATCTTTGATTTATTTGAAGGAGTATTTTATAAAGCTTCCAATGAGAAAAACAGATGGAGCATATAATTCTAATGAGTTTTTGCTCAAACCATTTTGAAACTAACATACTTAAGGCTTGATAGGTTGGCAAAAAAAAAAAAAAAGGAAAATAATAGGACTGGGTCATTATTTTTTAAATAATAAGAAAGTAGTTTCAAGGCATAAAAGTGTACAGAATTGGCTCTCAAGAATAATAAGCAATTTTATTTCCATTCTTATTGCTATTAATTTAAACTTTAAAATATTTGCAAGTTGCCACTAGCTAAATAGTGTTTTGCTAATGATTACTTTTGAATGATATATTTTATGCTGTTTAAGATGCCAAAGTGCTACTGTACATTTCTTTCCTGAGGAAGCATCTAAATAACTGACATGGCTCCTGGGTATGATGGAAAAAGAGGTGAAGAGAAGAACAGCTCTTTTATCTAACTAGTATCAGGAAGAACTGAGAAGACACTGCCAATTTCAAATATATTATCTGAACCAAAAGTTTTCTTTTCCTCGAGATTTAGCTTTTTTTTAAAAAAAAAAATCCAGGATTACATGAGGGATTGTAAAAATCATTCCCAAGAGATCTAAAGAATGTCCTAGCTCATGTCTTGGGCCACAGTCGTTCATCCTGTGATTGAGCAGACACAGAAGGGAGGAGACACTGCAGTTCTCCTGAGCCTATAAGCTATGGAGGTTTGTACACTTAAATGAAGCACTCAGAACCATTTACTCTATAGGCAAATCTCTGAAGAGTCATGTTTTTATTCTAACTTAATTTAGCGTAGATATCTAGGATGGGGGGAGATGAGCAACAATAAACAGAACTTTCCTCCACATTCTTTGTTTTCGCCAAAAAAGCTGGGGTTGATATAACTGTTAATGACACAGCTGTGGTCCTGAATGACAGCAGCCCTAAAACCCAGGTGAATAGGAACACTATTGTCTTTCAATTGGGCTTCTGACTCAGAAGCGTTGGCGGATTACCATCCTAGGGTGGCTAGGTTACCTCCATCATCTTTTTGCTGTGTGACAGGAACAGCTAAACTGTGTGTGATTCAGTTCCTGGCTTCTCACAGTTTCCAATCTGACAATTAAAGTAAGTGGGCCATGATCTCTGCCTACCTTATTGTGCAGGGCTGTAAACTGCACTGGTTCAAGAACTGCTGCTCAAGCCACCAAACCGGTCCTGATGGACAGGGAAGGGGGTGGCAATCCCTGATAAAGCAGTACAAAGGATAGCTGGGGACTGCAAACTCATCAGGTGTCCTGGTTCAATTCACCTAAAGCTCATCTTTCAATACCCTCGAAAAGTCTGCAATTTATACTGACAGCAGGGTGATGCATTTCCAATGAATGCTACATGTTTTCCCTGCACTGAAAAAATAACCATCCTATGAAACAACCTCACTGTGGGGATGGCTGGTAAGAATGAGACAAGAGGGCTGCTTCTAGCCAAGCACCAAAGTTAGGGATTTTTGCATCATGGTGGGACCCAAAGAGCCGTTTCCTGAATCTGCTAATTTTACTTCATTATAGAGATTCACCTCACGGGAGCAGTGCTGTTGAGTTCAGCAGAATTACTCATCTGAATATGAGGTCAGGAGAGCGTGCATGAGTATGTAAAACTGCTCTGCACGCTAATGCCACGTCCTGAGTGCTCAGGGAGTGCTGTTGATTACTTACCTTTCGCCTTTCCTTTTCCAGGCTGATAAAGTGCCATCACCCTTTGGTGACTGCCAGTTTCTTGGGCAATGCTCTGCATGTGTTCTGCTGTTGACATACCATTCCCCCATCAACCACGCACATGTTTGACAGGAGCTCAGCCTTTAGCTTGTGTTGGTATGTCAGGCTGGCTGTCACCCCACCATAGTTTCCCACCACCACTGCCCTGGCACTACTCCTCTGGTTAATGTCTCTTACCACAGACAGGATGCTTGAGCATCCATCTCTTGTATTGCCTACCATGCTCTCAAAAGGATGCCAGAACTCAGGCAAGAAGGTGCTAGCATCCACATCTACACTAGGATAACTGCAGTAGGAAGTGGAGGTGAACTGGTGGAAGTAATGGTGGAAAACTTGTGGGTAGAGAATGTGCAGCTGCATTCCCACAGGCTAAAGGGGTAAAGTCTCTTTTTTTCCAATACTGTTTTTTTTTCTAAATTAAAATTTAAATTATATTATTCTCTCACATCTTCAGTAGTGAAATGTTGGAATAGCAACCTCAGAAAAACATACAATATTGGAAGAACAGGACTTGCCTTACCCCCTAGGTAGGCTCCATCACAGGTTGGTGGTGAACATGATGTTACCAGCAGAGAGCATGCTGAGGCAACACATGTAACTAGTGCCAGTAACAACCAAGAGCCTACCTGAAAGGAAAGGAGAAGGGCTGAGGAATTAGAAGTCTCTGACTATATCTAATGCCACAGTGGGGCTGGTCTGACTCAAACCAGTGGACGCAAATCTCTCTGACAACCAGACTGGTGGCCACAGGCCAGATCTGATCTAGAAGCCTTTTGCCTACAGTAACGCAATATGGTACACAAGCAAATGGGACCTCTCCCAGGAGGACGTCCCAGCCTGGATGTGGCTGTGTTGGTGGAAGTGGACCAGTGCGAGATATGCTGAGCCAGCAGATGTGCTCAGACACAGCTGCACCTCTCCGTACAAGGATGCCCTTGGTGAGGTAGGGCAGGATCCCTCTGCCAGCTTGAGATGAAAAGGCAGATTTTAGCAAATGTATCACAAAACCAAGCCATGCAATCGAGGCGGGAGACCGGTGCTATTTATTTTTGAAAGAAATGTTCATATTTACTTGACTCCGCCGGATGATTTTCAGTACCCATTGTGGATAAAACACACAAATGAGCTGTGGTGCTTGTAAAGGAAAGCTGTCAGCCTTGGCAAGTAGGGGTCGTTACTGCTAGAGCTTCTGCTATTTTGGAAAGTTTTGGAACTCATTCAGGGTTGCTGGAGAAGCACAATGGCTGCATAGCGCTCCTTAGGAATTCTGGCTACTTGCAGTCTCAGCCTTAGGCGTGTTTCAGAGATGCAGATCCATCCTGCCTCTCTTCCAGCTACTGTTTCATCTGTCTGCCTAGCATGAGTGCACATTTGACTTGCAATTAGTAGGAGTCTGCAGAGATTCAAAAGTCTGCCCTGGCAGTCCCTACTGGGGCCTCGCATGGTAAGATCTTCCTATACATTTTTGCACCATTTAATTGCAACCGAGATATAAAATAACTTCATGAAATGTCTTTTTTTTTTTTTTTAGAAAAAGTATTCTATAATGAATGCTATGTAAAAATACAAATGAGATGCAATTAACTCAAGAGATCTGGTGGATTCTGCGTTTATAAAGATTCTGTTCTTACCAAATCCATTCTTCTTCGTGGCGTTTTGTGTAACACTGTCTTGCATCAGTTCTGAACATAAAAGCTTTATTTTTTCCAGAATCTAAATTACTAGTTTCTAGAATATGTTTGTCACTAGATATTTTCAAGGACAAATGTTAAATGTGGAACAATGCCACAGTTCTCATAATGAGCATTAAAAAATATGAAATAAGCATAATTTATTTTTCCCAATATGTACATTAAATGTATAAATCTGTCTGCAGACCTATTCAGACATACATGCTGAAAAATCTTGAACATAAGCATCACCAGCATTCTGAATCTCTGCCATCTAAGCAATTCAAATCCCACAATCTTTAAACTGCAAATACTTAAGCAAGTAACTCAACATTTTAGCTCAAAGTTTATATAGAAATATATATGATATATCAAAATAAGGTCTCAAAGCAGAGGCTGTGCCTGTGCATCACAGGTGGGGATTTGTGATTTCAGTGTGTCCAAGCCACGTGGTCTATACAGACAACATGTTTGTGCACACTGTTTCATCTCCAGATTTACGGACTTTGCACCAGATTTTCTTTTTATTGGGTAACTATCCATCTTACTATGCTTATAAAACAATATTATCAAATATATTTCTCAGTGTCATAGAAGACCTTAGTATCAAAGAGGATTTGATAATCAGATTTACAGAGGTTTGCTTCTCACTGCTTGATAACTGCATTTATAACTAATTTTTAATGCCATTATAATAAAGTTTTTTGTATACTCATATCTGCATGAACAACACAGGAGATGCCAAGCTCTTCTTTTCAATACTAGTCATAAAATAAAGAGCTGTTTTGTTTCAGGTACATTTAACTCTCCCAACAATTTTTTAAATTCAGAGGGAAAGCGCATATCATTGATATCTATGTAGAATAATGTAAGAGGAAATATTACTCAAGACGTGAACTTCAATATTGGATAGTATAAAACAAGGGTCCCTTTCACTCTGTTTTCTCAAATTCTGTATTAGTCTCAACTGCATTCACAAATGTGAATCAGAGCAGACACACAAGCCACATAAGGTGTGTCTTGCTCACAGCATATTCTGTGCTCAGACTCCACCAGATTTTGGAGATGAAGCCATGAGTTCTGCATGCCTAAGCCAGCATTTTTCTCATGCTAGAAACACTCACCTGTTCCTGCAGGACTTTAAGCATTGCTTGTGTATGTGTTTGCTCTTCCTTGGCTTGCTCCAGTTCAGATTTTTTGTTATTTAATTCTTCCTGTATGCTCAGCAATTGCTGCACAAACAAAAGAAGTTGCTGGTTAGCAGCATCTGGATCCAAAGCGGTTTTAAATCCTCAGTTTGATAAATCCTAATTTCAAACAATGCTTTGCAGTCTGCTCCTACATTTCTTACTGTTGCATAATCTGCTGTGTCTAAATGGACCAGAGGTAAATTATTTTCATCTGCATCTCCTTCTGCAGCAGTGCTCCACGAGTAATGCGTCTGTTAATGTGTGTTAAGCTATTTGTTACATTAAAGTAGAAACTCCTGGTACAGTATATCACCCACGGAACGACTGTCACATTCATCTGAACCAAAATCTTATTTGTAGAAGTATATGCTGCGGTTTTAATAATACTAGGGTAAACACTATGGTACATAAATAATTTAAAAGCACAGTCCTTTAATATAATTAGTCATTGGCCCACAGCCATTTTCATTCTATGCAAAGCAATATTCTGGAAAGCTTTCAGACTGAGTTGCCAAGAAGACAAAAGCTTTCCTTTTTTTTTTTTTCCCCTTGTGCTGTGATATTTTATTAGATCAGGAAGACTGACGCCCTACAATCAATACATCAACCAGGAAGACTGTTCATCTGAACTGTCATAACAAAAACCTATGACCAAACCTTATTTTTATGAAGAGAATTCTGGGATGTAGGGAGATCTTTAAAAGCCCAAGTCGCCTGGTCTTGGCTAGCTTTATGATCTGCATAGATTTATGGTGACTGTCAAGAGCAGGTCAGTAGATTTAGTTAGTTCTGGAATAATTACATATTTTTGTATTGATGTGATGAATGTTAGACACTGCTGAAGAGCAAGAGGAGACAAATATGAGATTAGAAAGGAGTTTATGGTGCTTTCCCTTAGTGATCAACAAAGGAAATTATGATTTGCTGGGGCAATATATTGCTGGTGAGCATGCTCCTTTTTAAGGACTACTGAAATGAGGAACTGCTTTACTAACTTACGTTACTGATCTAGCCATGTATCTAAGCATCTAAAGCTGAGTTTATGCTTGCACTTAGGACTGGTAACTCTGACTCAAACCAGTGTTTCCGGTGTTCAGCATCTTGGTAAGTTACAGATAGCAAGCCTAGAAATAGTCCCTGGCCTTGTTCCACCACACTGGAAGTCCCAGGCATCAAAGGACTCTGCACCACTACTGTTTTCAGAGCTGCTTGGAAACAAATGACATTTCACGAACTGATGGAGTTACTGGTACTGTATTTCTGTTGTAAGTGAACTCTGGTATGATGGATTAATTCAGCCACTGGAGTAAAAATACATGTGGGTATATGTCTGATTATATCTCACACACTCTACAGTCCAGCTGGGTTAGCTTTCTGATGGATCTTGCCACCTAGACTTGCTCTCTGGGAGCCTTCAAGAGATATTCAGGTCTGTATATTCACTCTACCACAGCACAAGAGCATTTAAAATCTCAAGATTTTGCATTAAATAACAAGGAGTCTTCCACTGAGGCTGTTGCCCAATGAACTTCTGTGTGGGAAGCTCTACTTCTGGCATTTCCTGACCGGAGATGGATTGCCACTTCAGGCCTGTGTTCATCTTGCCTGTTGGGTACTAATCCCTACGTTTTTAGAAGATACACTGAATTTGTGGACGCTGTCATATGTCACACACTGATATTCATGCAGGTCCTTAACACAGTTATAGTTTTCTAGACATTTCATAACTTTTTAGTCCAGAAGGGACCATTTGGTCACTTCATGTAACCTCCAGTTATTACAGACCATTAAGCTTCACCCAGGATAGCAACTGATGTCTGCAATTTAGAAAGAAGGGATTTCAATTCTCAGAAGAGAAGCAGAGCATACAAGACACCAGAAAGATAGCATAAGCCATTTCAAGGGTCACTCACTGAGACACCTGAGGTTTTGATAAGCAGATGTGAGGCTGCTTAAATGTCCTCTCCTTTTCAGGTGCAACCTGTTTGACCTTGCACACCTGACCATGGCAAGGGTTGTTAAGAGAAAGGAGTCTTTGTCCCCCATCACAGAGTCTTCTCTGAGCAGTAATGTCTCACCAGTGTTCTCAGCCTCTGATGGTTCAAAGGGAGGAGCCAAAATGAATGAAATGGTCCTCACACAAAGCCAGGAATGCATCTAACCAATTGTTTAGTGGGGGAGAAAAGCCCTTCTTTGCATCTACGGGCAATCAGCTTAAACCTTGAAGCATGGGATTTGACTATTGTCATTGTCTCAGTGCAGGGCTCCAAGTACTAGGGAGTCTGAGGAGGTCCTCACAAGAGATCTGGTTTGCTCCATAGCCTTTGAAGAAAGTGAATAGCCATGCATATCCAAGGAGAACATCATCACCATCCAGACTGCACCTTCATCCTGGTTCAGAGATTTTACTCCAGCTTCTGTGAGAAACCCTAGAGCCTATCCTTCTGAACAAGATAAACTCCCATTTGGAAGATCCCAAGTGAGTTTTCAGTCCATCCCTGCCCCTGGAAAGCCTTTTCACTACTGACTGACTGTTACAAATAGGTTGAACTTGTTACACTTCTGCCAGAACTGAAATCTCCTTCCCTATCCTACTCGCCCCCCAGCCCCCATGGTTCTTCCATGGCCAAGTTCTACATACTGCAGATCAGCTCACAAACTTCTAGATTTATTTTCCCATCTCCCACTATGATCTCCTACTGTGTTTTAGTCTAATTCTATCCCTCTTCCTTTGATCCTGACCTTTTCTGTTTTGTGTTTAAGGCATTTTTTCCCAAACTGTCTGGGCATGGGAGGAAGTAGCTTGGAAGACACTCTCTGAGAGCAGGAGAGAGAGAGATACTCCCTGTTCTGCATTTTTGTACTTGGCTCTGTACCAGTCAGGAATAGGAATCCCAGGAAAACATCCAACACGCTCAGTTTCCCTGGGGTAAGAGAGTGTGCATTCTGTTTGCAGTATGAGCAGCAAAGCACTTGATATGAGATAAAACCCTCCAGCAGTCTCAGTGGTTAAACTCAATACTGCAGGCTTACTGTGTGTGCATAGGCTCATATTTTCAAAGATAGCAAATGCATCTTATTTTCACAGGGGTGGAAAACAGAGTATCTGTAACTGAGGTACCATATTCCCACTCACACATAAGGTTTTACATTCACAGAACTGGGATCTTCTGATTCAACCCCCAAAGATGTCAGAATTGTTTAAACCTTGTAGCCATCCCCTGAGGGTTTAACCTCCTTTCTTCTTCTCCCCCTCATATTTTTCTCTAAAAATTGCAGAACCTGCTCATTTTGCATGGGTCATGTTCTGATACTTCTTTCTCCTGAGTGGTTGTTGCTGCTACCGGGAAGTTGTAACAGGGAGTTACCCGCCAAAGAAAGTTGGACCTGCCAAACAGCATATTTTTCCCTTCTAGTCTCATTTTGGAAAATGAAGAGATGGCTTTGACTAAAAAAATATCAGCCTAAGACAGATGAAGAGCCTGAAAATTTTCAGCACAAGCACACAATGTTTGGCAAAATTAGAAGCAAATGGAAAAAGGAACTTATACTAGTAGGAATGAGGAAAGTTTCATAACAGGGACTGCTGTCGTGCCTGCTTATTAACAGACAGACACTCCATAAAGATTGTAATGAATGATGCCAAGATGATGGTATTTAATTATTCAAAATTTTTTTGTTTTTCACATAAATGTGCTTATTAAAAATTGATTCTATAGATATTTCTTCTGCCCTTCAGATTGCTTGTCAGTATACATCACAATCAATCAAAAGAAAAAAATTGTTCTTCTTGGCTTTAATGTTTGTGCTGTCTGATAATGTTCCACTTACTTTGCCATCTCATCTAGCATTTCTGCCAGAGCTTTCCCTCACGCCCACCCACCCAAGCAGCATTTGCTACCCATTTCCCACCTGTTATATTCTGTTTGCTTGTCTCAGAGCTACTGCCAGCACAGTTATCAAAGTGTTCCTTCCTTTAATCTTGTCTCGCCTCTCTGGCTATTTCCTTTAAGCCCTGTGTCCGCAACTTTGTGGCACAGCCATGGCATCCAGACAGCAGTTCTCCAGTTTCCTCAGGCAAAAGAATGACTTCTTGGTTACATAGCCAGGAAATACCTGTCTCATTCTTCTGTTGTCTTCAAGTGGTCCTCAGTTTACAATTATTAGGTTCTTTGAGGGTCCTCTGCAAGTTATGCAAAGGTTTTTTCCCTGAGACACAATCCTAATGCCAGGAAGCAGAGAAGCAGCTCACGGTGCTCATCACAGCTCTGAGGTTCTTGGAGAGACACATCTGCATAGCCTAGAGCTCCACCAGCACCAGTCTGGAAGCTCAGCTGGTCTACATGGAACCAAAAACATTTGTCATCAGGGCTGCCAGGTTGACCCTAATTGATGAAGCCATGTAGTAGGTCCAGATCAGACTGTTAGACAACACCAATATCCTCTTACTGGTATTTCCAGAGATGAGGCAGGAAAGGAGAAAGAATTAACCTATGAGTTGTCTCTCCAGAGATCAATCAATGCATTTTAGACAAAAAAATGCAAGACACATTGCTTGTTTCCAGTGGCAGCTCTGGAGATGCTCTGTACAGAAATCACAGAATCATTAAGGTTGGAAAAGACCTCTAAGATCATCCAGTCTAACTGTCAACTCATCAATCTCCAGTGTTAAGCTTCCTTCATTCATCAGGATCAAATCTTCCCTGTACATAATCGTGTAGCTAATTTCTTTACATGGTGGGAGGGAGGTTGTGTGTTTTACTTTGTTTTTTTCACACATTGCCACCTCCAATGCTGAATCTCTGTCAGAGACAGTTCAGTACTGCCCATACCACATAGATGTCAAAAGTGCAGACAGAAAATTACCATCTTAAACCAATCTTCACAGCTTCTGAAACATTAAATATAGATGGCATTATTGAAGCCAGCTGAATTACTCAGACTGTGTACAATGTGGTGCCAGTGTGGCCAAGAATGCTAACAATGGAACACCATGCAGTGCCTTGAAATATATGAGAAGCCCTAAAGGGAAAGTAATGGCT